GTATTTTTTAATTTTTGAGCACTCTCACAATTGTCTCCTAGATGAGGACAGACCTGCACAATAAGAGATTGCAGCCAATACTCAGCACTGAGGCTGCTGTATCCAAGTTTAGTCTGTTCAATGATTTCACTCTCTTGTCCACGTGTTTGGCAGGAATACTCCCTCAGCTGGTATGATTAGGCCTTTTACTAATGAAGCTGCAGGCTTCACCTTAGCCAGAGTAATGAAGATCTTTTAGTCCTTAGGTACCAATATGTCTTCATAGGGATTTCCCACTCCCCCTTAATTACACCCTAATAAACCAGGTAAGGAAGAACTAGACAGCATTCCTTCAACTTTCCAGGATATTTTATTAATGCTTCATTTTCTAAAAACATAAGCACGTATGAAGTTAGTCGTAGATTGTGCTTAATTCTGAGAAGCTTAATTAAGAGTCTCAGGTATCTCACTCAAAATCCCAGCTCTAGAGATTCAACCTTCTCTTTAGAAGATCTAGAGGGGAGACTCACATGAGAGGTTAAGATATTGTGCTGCCCCTTTAAGAGCAAAATGTGAGCAACTGCCTTCACCAGTCCTTGTGACAAATCCTTGAGAGCAGAGGGAAAGCACATTACCAGGGAGATCAAAAAAGAATCTGCAGAAACATCCTGCATGTCTGCCCCCTAAGGAAAACAGTAGTCACACTGGGCTAGATCCACAAAGGGACTAAGGAGACAAGGCGGGTGAGATAGGATCAGGTGCCCTGCCACCCAGTGGAATCAATCCTCAGCCCCACATTAGGTGCCCAGGCTTCCTATACAATGCATAGGCAGTTAGGCACCTAAAAAACAAGAGAGTCATAAAAGCCTGCACACAGAGCAGGGACGTGCCCAAGCTGGCCAGTAGGAAGTGTCAAGGAAAGGGGTGCAAACAAAGCCCTGCCCCTGAAACTCAGTTAGGTGCCTATCCCCGCTTGGAATTCACAGCTGTGAACCCTCCCCTGGAATTAGGCACCTACACCAGGTTAGCCCTTTTGCAAAAAGGGATGGTGGCGGTGCGCCCTTCCCACCCCCCACCCCCCCATACCTAATAGTTCAGTGGTTAAAGCACTCACCCGGGTGGTGGGCGATATCCCCACTCTGCCTAATTTGGAGCAAAGACTTGAACTCATGTTTCCTACGTAATTTCCCTAACCACTGGACTGTAAAGCAATTCTGGGGTGGGTATCTCAGTCTCTCCTTTTGAAGCTATTTTACTTTGCATGAAATACTTAAATACTCCTTGGAGCAAGGACTGGAACCTGGGTATCCTGAGAAAGTGTGCTAATCACTAGGCTATAGAATCACTCTCTCTCTCACCCAATGAATATTTAAATAATTTATACAGAGAGGAGGTAGATCCATCTCACAGAGAAGGAGGTCTGAATCACTTCACCTCATGCTACCGGCTGCTGGGTCCAGGCTGAGTGGGGCGTGACAACACAGAATGAGGAGGGAGCCGGAGCCAGAGGAAACAAATGACTCACTAGTATTAGAAAGGTTGTGGGAGTTGGCACCTTTTATGGCAACTACGGCTTTGTAAGAAAGACAGTTTGTGAGAAGGGGGATATTTTGTAGCCTTTTCAACCATCTCAGCACAGAACTTGCTTATGTGCTGGCTGGAAGCAGGAATTTCTTTCTCCAAGTGTGTCTGTTGAGTTTTGAGGAGAAAACCCTTGAAGACAATGAAGAAAAAGTTAAAGTTAATCTTTTACAAATCCTGTAAAGGCTCTGCTACAAAGGGAGACATTTCATCTGTGTGCCATTTGGAGGTAAAGAATTCTGAAGCGTTCTTCCTGAGAAACAGTCCTATGCTCAGAGCACAGATACGGTCAGCCTGCCCCTGGAGATGGGGAATGCCCACTGTGAAGACTGACATGGAGGCTACTGAGAATGATTCAGTTCTAAATACCCATAAACTCTGAAATACAAGACAGTGATAAGTGATACTTGCTCTAATTTACAAGATGAAAGAAATATATAGTATAAACCTCTAGGAGGCAGAAGAGTTAGCCTACAGAGTGCAGTTCATAAGTGTATAATTTTAAAGCTTTCAGCTACATATTCTAAAGCAAAATATACAAGAAAGCTGTGATAGAACTAAATTTAGTACATTTTAAAGAGTAAAGAATACTGTCGGTATTGTAACATTTACTAAGACCCTCTAATTCTCCCTCTACTGAAAGCAGCCTATCAGATGTTCTTAATATGGCACTGATTTGAAAGCTGAAGCAAACAGTTTACAACAGTGATTCTACTTTTCAAAAACACTGAAAATCATAATTCTCTCAAATACAAATACAAACAGCATATATTCTAGTATACAGTTCTCCTAATTCATAGAATATGTGAGTGTGCTCCAGTGGGCACAGTATTCTGCCCCGCCTTCTGTCCTGTGCCATCCAATCCATCCCTGTCCCACTCCTGTCTATTCCTGACCCATGGATTCTCATCCCAATCCCATTTTCCTCATTTAGCCAATCCCAGTTTCCACTCCCCAGGTTTCCTATTCTGGTCCCAGCCTTCTTGCCCAGCAGTCCTAAATTTCACTCATCCAGACTACAGTAACTCCTCGCTTAATATTGTAGTTATGTTCTTGAAAAATGCGACTTTAAATGAAATGATGTTAAGCGAATCCAATTTTCCCATAAGAATTAATGTAAATAGGGGAGGTTAGGTTCCACGCACATTTTTTTCACCAGACAAAAGACATTATATATTGTGACAGGGTCGGGCCAGATGGCTACAGGAGAGTGACAGAAGGCAGATACAATTAGCCCCAGATTAAGCAGGTCCCTTTTCCCTTGGTAAAGTAACAGGGGCAGTTCCAGAACAATCAGGAGCTGGTTGGAACCAATGAAGGCAGGCAGGCTAATTAGGACACCTGGAGCCAATTAAGAAGCTGCTAGAATCAATTAAGACAGGCAGGCTAATCAGGGCACCTGGTTTAAAAAGGACCTCACTTCAGTCAGTGAGGAGTGCGCAAGTAGCTGAGAGTGAGAGGACATGCTGTTGGAGGTCTGAGGAATACAAACACTACCTGGCATCAGGAGGAAGGTCCTGTGGTGAGGATAAAGAAGGTGTTGGGAGGAGGCCATGGGGAAGTAGCCCAGAGAGTTGTAACAGTCACACAGCTGTTACAAGAAACACAGTAGACAGCTGTGATCCACAGGGCCCTGGATTGGAACCTGGAGTACAGGGAGGTTCCGGGTTCCCGCCATCCCCCTCCCCCATATTGGATATAAGAGGAGTTGACCTGGATCGTGAGTCCCACCAGAGGGGAAGGTCCCTGGCCTGTCCTCTGACCCACTAGGTGGATCAGCAGAGACCGTGGGGATTGTTCTACTTCCTTTTCCCCATGCTGGCCAGTGATGAGGTTAGCTGAGCGAATGGCAGGTTTGAGCCACTAGCAAAACTACTGGGCTGCCATGAACCTCTGAGGTGAGCAAATCCACCAATAAGCGCAGGACCTACCAAGGCAAAGGAGGAACTTTGTCACAATATACAGTATAAGTTTTAAACAAGTTCTAATCACAGGATTGTCTGGGGACCTGCTCATGAGCTCCCTGAGCTTCACTAAAGCAACCGTGTTGATATCGGGTGGGATATTTCCCAGGGAATGCCTTGCTGCTAAATGATGAACTAGCACTCAGCTGAGCCCTCAAGGGTTAACACATTGTTGTTAATGTAACCTCACACTCTACAAGGCAGCACCAAAGGAGGAGATACGATAGAACAGCAGCTGCAAACACTTCCCTGGGGAAACAGAACAGGATGATGAACCCACGTTATACACGCACCACTCCCTCCTCCAGACAGTGCATGCATGGCTGCACAGGTGTTGACTTACCGAAGTGCACGGGGGGCGGTGGGGGGGGCGGGAGGGAGTGCGCTCAACCCTCAGATCTGTCCCAGGCCCGCCCCCACTCCACCCCCTCCCCCAAGCACATCCTCTCTCCTCCCCCCAGCCTCCTGACCACCCGTGAAACAGCTGATTGCTGCAGAGAGGAGGTGTGGGGAGGGAGGGGGAGGTGCTGATCCCAAGGGGCCGCCGGAGGGGCGGAAAGCACTGGAGTGTGGTGGAGGGGAGCTGATGGGGAATGGGGGGGCTGCCAGCCCACGCTGCTTCCAAGCCCCCACAGCCAAACAATGTTATAAGGAAACAGTGCGAAACTTTAAATGAGTATATTCTCTCATCGATCAGGGACGTAACAATGAAACAACGTTAACCAGGATGACATTAAGTGAGGAGTTACTGTACTTGTCCCAGTTCCCCATCCCAATCCCATTGTCCAAACCACCCCAAATCTCCTTCCCCATCTCCTTAACCAATTTGTGTTTCCCCCACCATTACCCCATGTTCTCTATACCCACTGGCTTCCAATCCTAATCTCCCACCCCAGGCTCCCTTGCATCTCAGTTCCAATCCCCATGTGTCCCCCCTAGCTACTTGTCCCAGTCTCTTTGCCCAGCCAGTCTCAGTTCATCCCACACCCCAGCTTCTCGTCAGATGTGTTTCCCCTCGCCTCCACAGGTCCTCAGTACCAATCTCTCTTCCCACCCCCAGTTCCTCAGCCAATCTCTCAGTCTCCACCCCTCCCACACACACACACACCTATTGAGTCCTAGTTCCCACCTTCACCCTATTTCTCTCTCTGGCTCCCAGTCCCATTCTCCTTGCCAGATTAGGCGATTCTCTCGCAGAAATGCAATTTACAGATAAATTATCTAGGAGTGTTCAATAATTGAATACACTCATATTATGTATGATAACCAGCTAGTTTTCAGGCAACTGTTACAAACATGTAAGCATTTAAGCAACAGAGACATTCTATAAAACAGAGAAATCATCTATTAGAGTAAAAATAGCTTTATAATTATATAAATATAATTCACAGAACAGCTGAATTATTGTCAGTCCTATGTGACTAAATTTTTTACAATGCCCTTTACACCTGTTAAAAAACACATCACACAACTTACCCAGATTTGCTGTCATGGACTCCAGATCTCCTAAAAACCCTGGAATTTGCTGAAGTTGTTCCTGCAGCTCTATTAGACTACTCCTCTTCTTCTCCCAGTGTGCAGAAAGCATCACAACTTCGCTATCCACTAGCTGTAATATTTACAACCAATGATAAAACTTAGTTTGTATTTACTTGCAAAATAGTGATTATTAATTCATGAACTTCAGCTTTTGAGCATCTTGATTGATTTTTATAATCCATGCATCCACAAAGCCTATGACTAGAGCAATGAACTTTCACTGCTGAGAGAGATGGTCACAGTATGCTTTTGTACAGATTGAGGGGGGGTGGGGTTAAAAATGTTTAAGTTCAATATGCACTAAAAGGAAGTCTCCATAAAATGTAGCCTTTGCTATTCATGATCAAGTATTTATTTCTATTTATTTCAGGAGTAAATATTTATAAAAAACAGCTTCTCTGTGAAGATTCTGGCCCTCCTCTCCCCCAAGTTTAAGGTCTTAAGTATCTGAATACCCTGTCCTTCAAGGCAGAGTGATTTAAATCAGCAAGCAGGAAACTGTTTTAAATCATCTTTTGTCATCTTTTTATGTTTGTACTTTTTAGTTATTTTTGATTCTCAATGATTGGTAAACATTAAAACATGTTGATTTGTTACTAAATACAGCCTTTACACTAAATTATGCTTCATTTTTCTTAACCAGGAAAATTGCTTAAATCAATCTGTATAGATTAAGTATACTATACAGCTTTACATACATTTATTCAGATGCTTAATTTTTTAAATTTTTATGACGTTAGGAAAAGGTGAATGATGCATTTCTTATTTACTAGATAAATGAAAAAACAAACAATATCAACGTCTACTTGGATGGAAATTAAAATTAAATTAAAATGGACAAAAACAGCTTTTAAAAATTTTGTTTATTAGTTTACTCCTAGCAAATTCTGCGCCACTGTGGGCATACAGAAACATGTCCCCCCGCAGACTCTCTTTCACACAGAAAACTGGTTTTTGTGGGGAAGCAAAGAAAAGCTGCACTTGTGCTCACTCACCTATCCCCAGCAGTGGGGATGCATGTGTTTGGGTACCCAGAGCAGCTGGGGGAGAGGTAAATCACTGCAGGAGTGTGGTCTGGGGATGCCCCGACTGCCCAGGGACATTAGTCCCAGTTGGGCAGGGTGAAGAAGGGGAGAAGGATGACAGAGAGAGAGTTCCCCCCCCTCTGCCCGGATCAGCCGGGGCTGGGTCAGATCAACCCCCCCCAGAAACCTCCCACAGCTACAGGAAGCTCTGCAAAGTGGGATGGGGGCAGGGCTTGGCAGGAGGTATCTGGGTGTAGAGGGTGAGGCTCGGCTGGGGGTGGGTCCAGATGCACAGAGGTTAGACAGACAGAGGGAGTAGCTCCCCGTACAATGACCCCTTCCCCCCACCTCCTGGCCCCATCGCTCCTCAGCCATAGGTGAAGGAATCACTGTGCTGGGAGCTGCTCCCCTATTCACCCAATGCCCATGCATCTGATCTCCCCCCCGCCAAGCCTCCCCCCTCCACAAACCTGGAACCCCCCCCCGCATCGGAAACCTCTGCACCCAGAACCCCAGACCCCCCCCAGCCTCACCCCCTGCATCAGGAACCCCCCACACCCAGACCTGCACCCCACTGAGCCCCAACCAGCTACACCCTGGCCCACACCCCACCAAGCCCCAATCCCCCAGCACCTAGACACCCCGCTGAGCCCTAACCATTGCCCCTGGACACTTCAGTCCCATTCCCCCTGCACCTAAAACCCCCAACAAGCCACTGTGCCTCCAGATCCCCCCCACAGAGTTGCCAGCACACAGACTCCACCACACAGAAACCCAATACTCGAGGGACTTCAGTGCCAAAAAATTAAAAATTTTAAAATTCTGCAGACCATTTTCAATTATTTGGTAATTTATTTCAATATACTTGTCAGGAAATAATTGAAAATGGTATGATTATATTGTGTTATTTTGACAAATGAAGTATGCAGAATTTGAAAATATTGTGTGTAGAATTTTTATTTCTTGGTGCACAATTCCCTCAGGAGTATTAAGTTAAATAAAACTACCCTAAATGTGCTTAATACATAAGAAAAGGTTTATCAAAACATGTTCTGCTTTTAAAACTGATTTATTAAGCAAAGGGAGAATTATCTATATTAAGTGAATTGAACAGAATGTTTCTGGTCACCACATCCTTCAAAATTTTACCACTAGTTGATCTCATTCTCCCTCACCTAGTTTTTATATATAGATTGGAATTTTCCCTGCTTTTTCAACTCCAACTGGTTTCTTAACTCTGAATGAACTAGATGAGTAAACCAAAAGGAGGAGAATATTCTTCTACAGGTGTAGAGACAAGCTACTGCTATCAAAAGCTGTTTTAGCTCTTAAACTCGGATTAGCCAGTGATTTTACCTAGTGCAGTAGTAAACTTTCTTTAAAAACTTAGCAAACGTGCTATTTAGTATTATTTTTATTTACTCTACATTTAAATAGATTATAAATTTAGGCCTTAACAACTGTCAAAATTTCAGGTTTATTTTTTAAAAATAAACCTGTATTTAATTTAAATTTTAAAAATCTGATATTTGTTTATTTTTTTAAAACATTAATTTTTATCTGCCCTGCTGCCCTTACAATTAAGGACGGAGAGCTCTCAATTCACATCTCTGGGTCCTCTGAAGAAGCCCTCAAGGAAAGAAACATGAAATTCCAGACATTTTTACGGTTAAAAAAATATGCAGCTCTAAAGTGGTGGGTTTTTGTTTGTTTTGTTTTTTTAAGTCCTTCAGACCTCTTTAAACATTGTAAAGGAAAAGAAGGCACAAAATAATATCCAACTGCTATCACATCATCTTTAAAATATAAACAATATAATTCTCTGTGAACACAACTGTTGGAATTATTAATATTTGAAATGAATATGGGAAACCACCAAACACTAATTTAATCATAAGTTCCTTTATTACATTCAGAGGCCAAATGGTACTTATGCAATAACGCTAAACATGCCTAAAAAGTCTAAATAATATGCAACGTACTACATCCAAACAGTAAGCAAACACGTATAAGTATCTTGATCAAGATACTTACAAACTCAGGCTAAACTCAGGGTGCTTAAACCCATATTGATTGGCTCCAACATGGTCAGGCAGATATAAGCAATGAACCCTTTAAGACTTTACTTTTTATACCGTTACCAAACAAGTGATGTCACTGCCAATTATGACTTCAGCTAAAAACCAATTTGAGACAGTTCACCCTTATTTCTAGTCTTAATCCAGATAAGCTTTACAACCTCCTTTCTTCCCAAGGCCTTTCCTCCCCTCCTTTTTGCCATGCAACAGCTTCCCATTGCAACTGGGTTCACAAAGGCTTTAACACTGGTGTGTGGGTTGGGGAAGGGCCGTGTTGGCTCATGTTAAGATTCTCTTTGTTTGATTTAAAACCATCTTCAGTCACCCCTATTGATCAGAGGCTCTCTTTTTAGAAACTTCCCCTTATCTTATTATTCTTTGAACCAGACATCCTCCCTATTTTATTCCTGCTGGCCTTGTAGTTCATTGTTTTCAAGGCCTTCCTTCTACCTGCTAGTCAGGACTTTTCTTTACAACACATATATATTTCCTTAACCAACCTTAAGCTAACTTTAATTTTATACTTCTCCTACAAAAGGATTCTCAGTACTGGATACAGGGTTTTATCTAGAGGGGAAAATATCATTTAAATATGAAGTTGTAAGCTGGAAATGTAACCTAAATTAATAAAACACTCTTCCAGCACTCTATACTTAAGGAAAATAAATACAATAAAGCAACAAATCTTTCTTCACATATTACAGTCATGTGGAAAAATGTGAAAAACTTCAGGCATGACAGCTCAAAAATGGTCAAAGCAATTTTACAGAGCAGTGGGGGTAAACCTTTGACAGTAGATGATTGGCTCTAAGACCAAAGAGGTTCCTTCCAGTCTTATATTCTAAATATCAACATTTATAACCATCTTAACCATTTTGCAACAATTTAATCTTATAATGTTACAAGCCTGATTTAGTCTTTACTAATTGTAAGATATTTATAATTTCACATACATGATGCTTGGAGAATAATAGCTCATATTTAAGTTTGTAGATGCTTGTTTTATTAAATTAAGTGTTTAGCCTAATTAAATAAATTCCTAGGCGAAAACTGTTTTCCCCCCAAAAATGAGTGACAAGGAGAAAAGCTCCAAAAATACCTTCCCCTTTGTTACGGGATAGGAAGATCATCTTCTTCTAGGATTTCAAAGAGAAGCAGTGAATAGCAACAGATTTATCAAGGCTACATACCTTTGTCTACACCTACAGCAGCACGTAGAGTACAGGGACAACAAGTGTAGCTACACGCTGCAGTGAAAGGCTCTGGCAGCAGGAAGACAACAGGGCACTACACTGCCAAAAATATCAGTGTATATGCATGAGGCACTGCTTAGAAATGTCGAGAGCTCGTGAACGGTATATATCGTGGGGGATCAGGCATGTATGGCACTCTATCTCCTAAGGCACGCCTCACTGTATATACTGCAATTAGCCCCAGCTAGCTGGGCATGCAGTGTCTGTACATTACATGCTGCCACAAGTGAAGATGTACCTTAAGTCACCCATCTGGTATAGTGAGGAGTTTTTAAATCTGAAGCAACAGACTTTGTAGGAATTTTGGAAATTCTGCTTCAACAACTACCACCTGCTAAATACAACAGAACCTCAAAGTTACGAACACCAGAGTTACAAACTGACCAGTCAACCACACACCTCATTTGGAACTGGAAGTACACAATCAGGCACCAGCAGAGACCCAAAAAAAGCCAATACAGCACAGTACTATGTTAAATGTAAATTACTAGAAAGAAAGGGAAAGCAGCATTTTTCTTCTGCATAGTAAAGTTTCAAAGCTGTATTAAGTCAATATTCAGTTGTAAACTTTTGAAAGAACCACCCTAATGTTTTGTTCAGAGCTACAAACAACCGCCATTCCTGAGATCTTCGTAACTGAGGTTCTACTGTACAGGATTAATCAAGTAAAAACAGTCAAGTCCAATTTAACAATTATCCAACTGTAATGTAATTTGAATCATTTATCAAAATACTGATATTTATTAGAATTTTTTTAAAAAGTTTCACAGCTCTTCAGATATTTTAACAGATGTAATTTTTTTTCTTACCTCTCCAGCTTTTGCACATTCCTTAGCTCCTTTGTGAAGGGCTGCCCAAGTGTCTTCATACCTGAACAGAATAAAAATTAAAACTTTGGTGGTTATGCTTACCATAAATTCAGTCCCAACTCAAAACAAACGTTATGAATGTTGGTGTTTCATCTTATCTGTGTATTTCTAAATGCAAGTTTCACATTAGTAGCGTATTTGTCCCAGTTGAAAACTTTGCATTTGCTGCTTAGTGCTCCATGGATTTCCTAAACTGCTAATTAACACAGCCAAGTAATATCTTCAAAACTGTACAGAAAACGAGACAACTAAAAACACTAGTCCCATGAGGAAAGCAATAAAATACTTAACATTAAAGATCTTATAATTGTATATAACAAAAATAGCATTCTGAATAGGATATTTATTTTCTTAAAAGGTATATTTGCCTATGGAATCTGCACTCAGAATACATACATCCATGTAAACTTTTACTGGAACACCGAGTAAGACCATTGACCCCAGAGTTATCTAAGAAGCTTTTCATCCATACAGTGACTGTTTATTACAATGCCAGGTGCACTTCCAGATGCTGCAAATATAAACTATTATTTTGATTATTTACAGTAGCACCTAAAGGATTGAGGCCCCACTATAAGAAGTTATTTTGGGCTGATACATCTAAGATATACAAGTATGTGTAAAATACATCAGAATGATTTATGGAAGTGCAATATGCGTTTGCATAGGCCAGGGTGGATTGATTTATATGGGGCAGGCAAACTTTTTGGCCTGAGGGCCACATCGGGTTTCAGAAATTGTATAGAGGGCCGGTTAGGGGAGGCTGTGCCCCAACCCCCTATCCTCCTCCCCTTGCTTCTCTCCGGCCCCTGACCCCCCCCCCGGGACTCCAGCCCCATCCAAACCCCCCACTGCCTGTCCCCTGACTGCCCCCAGAATCCCTGCCCCTGACTGCCCCCCACCACCCCATCCAACCCCCCTCCTTCCGACTGCCCCCCGGGACCCCTGCCCCCATTCAACCCCCCCCGTTCCCCGACCCCATCCACACCCCCGTTCCCTGACCAACACCCCGAACTCCCCTGCCCTCTATCCAACCCCCCTGCTCCCTGCCCCCTTCCCGCGCAGCACAGAGCACCGGTGGTTGGCAGCGCTACAGCCGCATCGCCCAGAGCATTGCCCAGCCACCCAGAGCATTGCACTGGTGTAGTTGGACCATATGAACTGGAACCATAAACTCACTGAACATTAAATCCCACCAAATGAGGGTAAATCCATCCACATCATCATATCCACTCATTATACTGCACACCTGAACATAGCCATTATATGAACAACATACCCCCATATCTCAATGTCTGTACTTTGACCCGTTAAACTTTAACCCCCAATCGGGAACATTGCAGATTAGGTATTCCTTACACCACCCGTTCCTAAACCGAATTTCGCACCCCTTGATAATCTGTACCTTATTCCCTAATAACCAGAAACTTCTATGCTTAAACTCTGTACCGTTTTCTTTTTACTTCAACATCTTAATAACATTATTAAATTACTCTCCATAACTGCTACCAGTAGCACATTCCTACGCAGAGCAGTTTAATACACTACACCGCCAGCATGTCGTGCCGAGGCTGCGGGGGAGGGGCCGGGGGCTAGCCTCCTGGGCCAGGAGCTGGGCAAGAGGGTCCCGTGGGCCGGATGTGGCCCATGGGCCGTAGTTTGCCCATCTCTGATTTATATCCAAGTGATTTAAATCACCAACTTTAATCATGATTTAAATCACACAGCAAGAAATCTTGATTTGTATTTTAGTTATTTACTCAAGAGGTCAATTCTCATTGGTTGGTAACCATTAAGCCGTGTTGATTTGCAGCAAAATATACCCTTTACACTAAATTTGGTTCTTTTTTGCTAACCAGGAGGAGACACTATAGCTATACACTTATTTAAGCTGTTAATATACCTCATTTATTCAGATTCCTAATTTTTTACACTTTTTTATTATTATAAGTGGTGAATTATGCACATTTCTTATTAACTCTTTGGAATTTTCCCCTCCATACACACACTTGTGATTTGTGTCAAGCTGCAACAGGATGAAGATTAGAATTCAATTAAAATGCATAAACACAGCATTTTTTAATGATTTAACAAAAGTAATTTAGATATGCTGGACACCTAAGAAAAAAGTTTAACACATTTTGCATTTAAAACTAATCAGTGTATTAAACAAAGGAAGTATTTGTAGTAGTGAACTGAGCTGACAGTGACTAGAAACAAGGGCCCAAAGGCACAAACACACTTAGGCACCTCAGTCTGGGTTTAGGCACCACTGTGATTCATAAAACTTCCGCATACCCCTGTAGGTGCCTAAACTCACAATGTCTAAATTTTCAGGGAAAGAAAGTTCCAAGCTTCCACTGCCTCACTCTAGGTACCCAGATGCCTAACTCCTGCCTAAGCCCCAGAGCAATGCATGAATGGGGGAAGAGAGGCATTTGCCTGCCTATCTCGCATGGGAAACCTCATCCAGTAGGTGATCTCAAAGGCCATTACTAGATCAGGTCCCATTCAAAACCTGGGTGGAGAACGACTAGTTCCAGAAGAATCTATGCGTAAGGTTGGCATGGAAGAAAGAAAGAAAAGAAAGTGTTTTTGGAAGAAGTGAACATATAGGCAAAACAACTAGCATAATTGGTGAGGCATAGCAGGGGACATGAAAAAGTACAAAAGCAGGTCAGTAAGAAGGACCTACATTACAAAGGAACTTGAAATGGTAAGTACCAGAAGCCTGTACACGGTCTACTGGAGAAGGGAAATCCAGCAGAACTCTATATTGCAGGGGTGGCCAAACTGTGGCTCACGAACCATATGTGGCTCTTTTACAGTTAAAATGTGGCTCGCAGAGCCTTCCACATTCTCCCATTCTCCACCTACCAGAGCTCAGCACCTCTGCCTGCCAGATAAGGGTGGTGGGATAAGGGCTTCTGCCCAGAAGGGAGAGGGGGTCTTGAGGCTTCAGCAGCAGTAGGGCTGAAGCCCTGAGCCCCAGCTCTCGAACTTCTGAAGATTGTCGTGTGCAACTTGGAGGGTCAGTAAATTTGGCCACCCGATATATTGCAATGTGGTTTTGGCACTAAGCATTAGAAATTGTCACCCTGACACATACCAATGTTTTTGAAAGATGCCCGTTTCAGACTTATACATTCAGAAACGAAAGCGTACAAAGATTAACCACTTTTCATACACTAGCCACTACTTCTATTTCAATAGAGAAAATGTTGTCACACTGGGCCCTGGTCTACACTACAAGTTTAGGTTGAATTTAGCAGCATTAGATCGATTTAACTCTCCACGTGTCCACACGACAAATTTGGGGTAGTGTGGATGCAATTCGACGGTACTGGCCTACGGGAGCTATCCCAGAGTGCTCCATTGTGACCTCTCTGGACATCACTTTCAACTCAGATGCACTAGCCAGGTACACAGGAACTTTTGAATTTCATTTCCTGTTTGGCCAGCGTGGCAAGCTCATCAGCACAGGTGACCATGCAGTCCCAGAATCACAAAAGAGCTCCAGCATGGACTGAACAGGAGGTACTGGATCTGATCACTGTATGGGGAGACGGATCCGTTCTATCAGAACTCCGTTCCAAAAGACAAAATGCCAATATATTTGCCAAAATCTTCAAGGGCATGATGGGACAGAGTCTACAACAGGGACCTGCAGCACTGCCTTGTGAAAATTAAGGAGCTCAGGCAAGCCTACCAAAAAACCAAAGAGGCAAACAGCCGCTCCGGTCAGAGGCCCAGACATGCCGCTTCTATGATGAGCTGCATGCAATTCTAGGGAGCGCCCCTACTACTACCCCACCCCTGTCAGTGGACACCTGCAAGGGGGGAGTCTCACGCAACAGGCATGAGGATTCTGGGGATGAGGAGAAGGATAGCACACAGCAGGCAATAGGAGAAACCATTCTCCCCAACAGCAAGGAACTGTTTATGACCCTGGAGCCAATACCCTCACAACCCTCCCAAAGCAGGCTCTCAGACCATGAAGCCAGAGAAGGCACCTCTGGTGAGTGTACATTTGTAACTATAATACATGGTATAAAAGCAAGCATGTTTAATGATTAATTTGTCCTGAAGACTTGGGATGCATTCACAGCCAATGTAGCCCCTCCTTTTAAATGGCTAACCCAACAGGTGCTTGGTATGTGAAAGGAGGGTGCTGCTGTTTGAAACCATTTCCACACATTATGAAGGTTGAAAAAGCCAAAAGACTGTGGCTTACCATGGCTGCCTGCAAGCCGAATTCTGTTGCCCGGCCCTGTATGTGTGATCTCACACCAAACCAGCAGGCCTTCAATGTAAGGGACAAAATGCGACCTTGTACCAAAAGTACATGTGCTGTGTAACGTTAACAGCTTGATTCACCGTGAAAGAGTCTACCCATTGTTCTCTAAAATGTGTCTCTTTAAATACTACTCTCACTTTTTTCCTCCCACAGCTGCAAATGTTTCAACTCTCCCTCTATTATCTCCATCCTAGAGGCTAGCGCAGATAAGGTGGTGAAAAAAACACACTTGCGATGAAATGTTCTCAGCTCATGCAGTCCTCCCGCACTGAAAGAGCTCAGCAGAATGCTTGGAGGCAAACAATGTCAGAGTCCAGGAAAGCAGAAAATGAACGCAAGGACACGAGGGACGAGCAAGATGAGAGGAGGCAGAATGCAATGCTGAGGCTACTGGGGGATCAAACTGATATGCTCCAGTGTCTGGTGGAGCTGCAGGAGCACAGACAGCCCCTGCAGCCCATGTAACCGCCCACCCTCCTCCCCAAGTTCCATAGCCTCCTCACCCAGATGCCCAAGAACATACGGGGGGGGGAGAGGAGGCGGCAGGCGGGTGCCTCCGGGCACCCTACCACTCCACCCCAGAGGACTGCTCAAGCAACAGAAGGCTGGCATTAAATAAGTTTTGAAGTGCAGTGTGGCCTTGTCCTTCCCTCCTCCCCTCCTCCACCACCCCACCCGGTGCTTCCCTCCTCACCCACCCCTCC